ACAGAAAAAAAGTAATTTTCCGCACGGTATTAAAAAAATAACGTTTCCTAATCATGCGGAAAGTCTCTTTCTCTCATTTCATTGCTACGCACACACCGCCCTAACTGACTTACTGACTAACTGTATTATTTTAGCCGCTTCTGTCAACTGACAGGCTGTCTCTGTCATTTGTTAACCAATAAACTATGCGTACGAACGAAGATTATAAAAGTTCCGATGTATTGAAAAGATTATATCGATATTTTTTTGATACATCAAATGTAAAATATATCGATATATTTCAGTAACATATCGATAATCGATATATGTCCCGATTGTTATCAAAGAATAGAGATGGAGAATAACAACATTGGCAACATAGAGGGCCCTGCCCCCCCCCCACCGGGCGCCCATGGCTATTGAGAAACCGGACTATAGTAATAGAGCATAGAATTGACCACAAATAACGAAAGGACAAAATACTAATAGGTACCACTTGTATAATTCTTAAAGAAAGTTGTGTAAATTTAATTTACATGATACTGATATTACCACACGGAACAGAATTACCATTAAATACGTTTGTACTTCCGCGTTCCCCACGAGAGCTCCCATGGGTGCACCTGCCCCAATGCCCCCATGTAGTCGGCGCCAGTGATTCCGAGGTTCTTCCAGTCGCGTTTGAACTGCCTACGGAGCCAGTAAAGTGCTCTTGGGTATGTCATACCTTACTGAATTCGTGATTTTTACTGTTGTTGTCATAAGTCGTCAAGCTAGGTGATTTTATTTATTTTTAGCAAGATTGTTTTTGTTTTACTTGATTTAGATGGAATAAATAACTTCACTAATACTAGTTGACTGGGCCGTATGAAAGAGAGCAAGCAGAATTGCTAAAACTTTGGGATTATGCCGAAAATTCACCCGATGGTCCTGACGACCCGCTAGATGAAGAACCTGTTGACAGCGAATCTGGCAGCGAGGAGGATCATCTCAGTCAGCTCTCAGACAACTCAGACATGGAGCAAGAAATATTGGAAGTCATTTTATATTTGTACTTTGTGCACGAGGTTCATATGCATGGAACATGGAAACCAAATTTGTGATGGATGTAAGGCATTGGATAGGCAAGAAAACATGAAACATTTTGTGCACGTCTATGTATTTTCAATAATTTGTAGTATCTATACTATAGGGCAATTTAAGTTTTAAGTGGGAATTTTGTTTTATTTTCTCTTCCTGGGAGTGTCACCTTGGTTCGTATTTTTTGTTCATTCAATAAAACCGTTTTAACCGAAGTTTTAACAATGATTCTTGACTTTTTATTTATTAATATTTTGTGAATAATTTTCAGTTATTTAGTATCAAAACAACAAATAAAAACATATTCCTTTACAAAAATATCCATATTTTTCTGGTTTTTTTGAAAAGAAAATGGGGTATTTTATACCCCACCTTACCATATTTGATATAATTTTCCACCTTACCAACGCAGGGTTAAAAAGGTTTGACTGTTGCCGAATTTGGTCTGCTGCAGAGAAAATACGATTTCGGAGGTCATTTTCGTCTTGAATTTCACGTCCATTGTAAACCAGAGATTTCATCATATGACCCCAAAAATGAAAATCAATAGCATTTAGATCTGGTGATCTAGCAGGCCATTTTCGAGGCTCTGGCGCATTTCGCCCTATGCAACGATCGCCAAAACAACAGTTCCTTCAATGTGAGCAGGGGCGCCGTCATGAAACCACATGTCTGCCCCCGCTGTTCTTAAGGGGATAGTTTCCAATAATAGGGGCAAATTATCACGAGGAAAAGTTCGATATACCACCCCATTTAATCTTGGTGGAAGTTCAAATAAAGGTCACACCAAACTGTTTCCAAGAATTCCTGCCCAAATATTTATTGAAAATCTTTGTTGAAATCGGCTTTGTTGAATGCTATGTGGATTTTCTTGTGCCTAGGTGTGAGTGTTGTGATAATTTAAAATTCCATCTCTTGTGAAGCAACACTCATCACATCAGTAGATAGTAAAAGATTGTTCAAAATGCGGATGCCTTTGTATTTTTTGGAGAAACATTCACAAAAACGAACTCTGTCTGGAAAATCTCCAGGAGACAATGCCCGTATATGATACGGGTAAAGGTAAAGCAAATTTTGTCAATGGATCGACTGCATATTCTAGGGCTTTCTTCCACTATCGCTAAAATCTGTTCTTCATCGGCAGGTGTCATTTGTCTTGTAGGTCCCCGATTAACATTTTGCACACTTACACTTCCTGTATCACGCAATCTTTGCAAAACGGACACAATAATGTTCTATCATTGGGTGTTATCCTGTCAGGAAATCTTTCCCTGTAAATTCTGGCGGCTAAATGGGCATTTTGTAATTACTCTCCGTGAACAAGTACCTAACATATCTGCATATTCGACGTTTGTAAACATTTCACTTTCAAAAAATAATACGCGCGTTTTCAATTGGTACCTACTTTGAGCCTATGTTGCCAGATGTTTAGAAGCCGAATTAAGAGTAATATTCTCAAGTTATTTTTTAAATTTTTATCGATTGTTTTTGACTAAAAATGCATAATTAAATAAAATAAATTTGTTTAGATCTCATAATGATTAAAATTTTCTTTTCCTTCAAATATTCTTCAAAAAATGTCAAAACTTCAAAGGCCTTTTTCTCAAAAATGGTTGAGTTTGGACCCCATGTTGTATAAACTTTTTCTGTTCAAAATGGGCCATATTTTCACGTGTTGAAATTTTTGTAGTCAAACCTGATACACCCTGTATGCAGAACGCTGAACGCTTACTTAGATACAGGGAATCCAATAGTAGAAAAATGGACAACTTTCTCTTTAATACAATAAAAAAACGATTATGATAAAGAATCAAAAGTTATACCTCCAACAAAACAAGAGCATTACATTATTCTGGCAAGGAATTCGGTCACAATTAGAAGTTAAGCATAACGAGTCAGCTACATGGATATTAGAAGACGAAAGCTATATAAAAAAGAATACATAATTGGAAAAGCCCCAGGAACCGATCAAGTACACAGTACACAACTTCTGGTATAAACAACTTACGGCGCTACACCATTATCTGACATCTAAAATAAATAAAGTAGGTAATAGAGAATCCAAGTTCCATGCCAACTTTTTCAACTGAAGGAAAAACATATACCTGCTACCAAAGAAGGGTGACACGAAAAACCCAGCAAACTATCGTCCAATAATATATCTACAAACTCTGTATAAAATAGTAACTGCAGCCATATGCATAAAGATAGAACAACACCTTACCAAAAACAATTTATTAACAGAGGAACAAAGAGGATGTCGGCAAAACAGCCAAGGATGTAAGAAGCAGTTAACTATTGACAGTGTCATAATGAAACGAGCTGAAAAGCAATAAAGAAACCTACAACTATGCTACATAGACTATAAGAAAGCATTTGACTCAGTCCTACATTCATGGCTGAATAAAGTCCTACAACTTTACAGATTGTATCCAAAACTTCGCAACTTCCTTTCACTGCAATGGTCACATGGAAAACCTCAATTCATTTATTCACAAATACTGAACACATAGAAACAGAACGAATACGTGGGATTTTCCAAGGTGATTCGGTTACTGGTTGTTGAAAGGGGATTAAGATGGGAGGATGATATATCATCTGAAACAAACTTTGAACAAAATGCAAGGAAGAAAACCCTATAAAGTACCTATCTACCTAGGATTCCAACAAAACACAAGAATAGACCACAATCTGATAAAAAAACGAGCTTTTAAAAGTAAAACAATACGTTACTCGGTTAAGGCTCATCCTTAAATCAAACTTGAACTCAAGGAGTACCTATGTTTAGAGCTATAAACACATTTTGCATTTCTCTTCTTACATATTCCTTTGGTATAATAAAATGGTCAAAAACAGATTTGAACAGAATACACCAGGGGTCTATTGCATCTTTTCACTTTGCACAGTTGTATCAGGGTGTCATCTACATTTCCACCTACACATATAATGGAAAACCTCCCTTTTGAAGAAATTTACGTGCGACTTCTTGACTTTCGTTGGGCCAGCAAACGTGGTGTTCAACATAGTGTTTATTACAGCACTGACCACTTTGTGTAGCTACTCCGCCCATGGTTGACACAGCATGCATTTGAGCTCCGTTTCTCATCCCATGGAGCACCAGAAGCAATTGCTGTTTTGTAGTCAGAGCATGATTTCTTATATTGTTGTGAGATAATGGGGCACCTATATTGTTAAGCACAGTATTCTACTTGTAATTTCGTAAGTTGAAACGCTTCATCTCTAAAAGAAACATCATTTTTGACAAACTTTTCAAAATTTTTTTAAACAAAAAATTGTTGGTGCAATTCTTATCAAATATTTGTTGAAAAGTTCTTCGCCACTTTTCTTTTATCACTTTCCACTTTGCATGATGAAATTTGCAAATAGCATTGGTGTAATAGAAAACGATATGCAAAGTGCAAAGTGTAAAGTGAAAAGTTGCAAAGTAGTTTGGTGCAATCAGCTCTAGGTTACAAATAGGGAACTAACCAAAAACAGAAAACATCATCCCAATGCCTGCAAGGAAGGGCTCATAATACAAAGAAGAGGGAGGTAGAGGAATTATGGATATTCATTTACAACTCTTCAAAAATAGAACAGAGACGTTATCTGGTCCCGTACTTAAGTTATCACTTAAATTTGAGATTGCATTAAAAACTTTTTGTTTTTTGATTTTTACTCCTGGCTCTTTCTAAAGCTTTTCTTCAAAAAAGAATTTTGGTTTAAAAGAAATCAAGAATTTAAGAGCCCAGCGTTTGGAATAGATGAAAATTGAAGATGTCTGTGTGCTGTCTGAGTAATCAACATTTTTAAAGATTGTTTGGACCTGCAGGGTTCTTGGATTCATCAAGCGTTACATTAAGTAGTTTTCTAATGTGCTCTCTCTCTCAAAAAAATCTGGTGACTTTGCAAAAATAAAAACATAGAAAATATATCAATACATTTTATTTTTTATCTAAGCAATAAACTAAAATTTGTAATATCTTGTACCATATATTATATTTCACTAGATCTAATTTTCTTGAAAAAAATTGCCTACCTATTTAAACAAATTTTTCAAAAAAATTATGACTATCTTAATAAAAGTCATATTACTACTTCACTAATAAATTCATAAAAAACATATTAGGCATATAAATACAAAGAGAACTAAATTTAATGCATCTCGGAAAGTGACTTTTGTACTTTAAAGAATAATAATAAATTAACCCCTAAAACTGAAAAGTTGTAATTTAAAGCTAAAAGTTCCAATTTGCGAAGCAATTCAAACACAGGGCTCAACATAGTTTCCTGGAAACAAACCAGTTATACCATCCATTACTCCCTCCCACCATCCGTCATCGTTTTTCTTTAAAACGTAAATAACCGAGCTCTCTTGGAAACTCAATTCGTCATCTTTATCCGCATAGTAATCATATATTGCAACAACTAGAAAAAATAATAATGGGAAATTTATAGATTACAGACTAGAGTGGTGATTTGTCTAACCTTTTTCTATATAATTTTTTGGCACCCATCCAGGTAAATCATCTTCGTCCGGCACAATGGGCATTACCCCTGAAGAAGTCCTGGGACGCCCAAACGCTTCATGTTCATCCTCTGGTGGCGGTGGAGGCGGCAATGGAGGCGATTGGGATCCACTGTTTCTCGAAGCAGCCTATACAAAATTGGAATGAGAACTTTTTAAAAATATTTAAAAGTTGGTTTATTATTGGTTTTTGAATGTTTCTGGTAGAAATATCTAACCAATTAAGAGCTGGTAGTTTAAATTCTGATTCTTACAGGCTCTTAATCTTTGCATATTGTTTCTCTAAACAATCAAGAGCCAATAAAAATCCAAGTCTGCACGTTAGTAAGACGTTGCTAAGACTGTCGTCGGCTAAACGTCCAAAACATGTCTTCAGTATGACATTCTATTTTGGACAAAAGTCGTATGAGACCAAAGTGGTCCAAAATTGGACGTCCTTTTGACAGACAGATTGATCATTGTGGTAAGCTGGTGTACCTCCAAACAGTGATAATTCAAAAAATACTCAAGTCTACTCAATTTTCCTTAAATTTCTGCTTTCAAATTCTCGAATTTTTCTGTCTAAATGTTTGTTTTTTCCCGATTCTTGCATTGTTTCCTTCGGAATACCTCTAAACAGCGAAAATTCAAAAGCCTGAAATAGGAAATAATAGCATACTCATTATGTCTACTCTATTCTGAAGTGTTCCGTAGTCTCAGAAGAGAAAAGGTCATGATAGTTAAGGTCATTACAGCCTTTCTAGACTTTCCCTCATTCACCTGCCTTGTGACCTAGTGCCTTCCTGGCTTTCAGGCCTCTGAATTCCTTAGGGATTGGTTCACGCAGTTTGTCGGCGGATTGAATAATCTCATCCTTATCTGGATGTTCATTTATGCAATCTTTCTGCTCTAAACTATCTGCGAAAGCTTAGGCTTTTACTTTATATCAGATAATACCTAGGCAAACCCATTTAATCTGTGAAATAGTTGAATGATGGTATTCTTCTCACAGATACTTCTGCTTTTTAGAAATTTTCCTCCTTAAATTTCTTCTCTAAATTTCTGAATTTTTCTGTCTCAATTTTTGTCTATTCCCGGCTCTTGAATTGTTGACGGTTAAAAGCGCAATATGTAATCCCAGCGGTCAACCAATTATCCAGTGACCAAAAGGATAATAGATCTGTAAATTTATCTTGCAGATAGTTACCAGCAAGTTTATCTCAAGATGAATAAACCGGGCCAAAGATAGAGAACATTGGTGTTAGCAAATAGAATTTTAATATAAAAAAGATCTGCGAAAAAGTCGTCTGATCCAAATCCATTAAAACATATAAAATGCTGGAGGATGTTCTCCAGCAGGTATTTTTTCCTGTTCCAACAAACATCCCAAGCAGCAAAGGTTATTCGTTATGACGTCGATTTTAAATAGATTTTTCATCACATTTTTGAAACAATCTAATTGGTGTTTTGTGCATTTCAGCAAGTTTATCTCAATATTATTATACCTAATTGATGAATCATCACTGAAGGTGACTGGAGTAAGAAAAAAAGGGGACCAGGGTAATGTAAACAAGCTATTGTACCTTTCTTTTCTTATCTATTTTTATATTCGTCATGCAGTAGACTATTGTGGAGGAATAAGCTATTAAAAAAATAATAATAACCTAAGCTATGATCCTAACTGCCCTTCAGAATTGTGGTAAGCTACTTCTAGTTGAGCATTTTTGGTTTTAGACTTTGCATTTAGCTGTAGATATTTTCAATAACTTTCTCATAACAACTGAAGTTGCGTTTCACTGATATCCAGGGCAACAAATCATGGTTTGATTATTTCTTTTTGGTAATTGGTGTCCCCTGGGGAAGCCATCCACCATAATAGGTTAGGATCCCATTTGTTGCACGATTATACTATTTAAGGTAAGTGTAGCAGTGGGGCACTACTGAATACCGGCGAGAAATGGTTGAATTATGATTTGCTGTTGGGTGTCAGCTGCACAACATAATTTCAAGTGAATTCAGCCTGATGGGGATTTAATAGAATAGCTGAATGCTCTTCAACTTTGACAGGCAAAATTGTTTTTGTGTTTTCCAAATGAAGAGTCAAGTGGGATATTTTCCCAATATATATGTAGCATGCAATGTGTTAAAGAGCATGCTATCTACCCTGGCTATTCTCATATTATCTCATATGATACACAACTAAAAGAATTCAGTTTTGTAAGGTTGGAAAAACGCAGGAATAATATTGATATACCTGGGTTGTTGAATAGATTAAACTTTAAAGTACCTGATGATAATAGATTAAGACTTACGGCCAATTTCATAATCAACTTAAAGTAAACTTTAAATTTAAAGCTCCATTTGAAGTTGAAAAATCCTATCCTAAAAGTCTATTTAGCTAAAGTAACTTTTAATTCTCTATTATGAAATTGGCCGTTAGAGATATATTTTTCAAAGTTCCTACATTCTCATCTCCATTAAACAGGATCATGGAAATGGTTAATAAGTTTATAATATGTGATACACCTGCATGTGATATATTTTGTGTAAGGAAGAGTCAACTAATAAATTAATTTTTTTGGTAACCTGTCCTAAGTCCCCTATACGTTTTTATTTTTATTGTTATTATTATGTGTTTTTATTTGTATTTTATTCTGCTTTGTGATTGAATTGCATTGTTTCCATGCAATGCAAATCTTTTAAATAAGCATGTGTGTGTGTGTATACATTTTTGTTTTTTCTCACTGTGCATGATTTTATGGATCACTCTGCTTTGTGTGCAGTATAAATAAAGTTCATTTCTATTTTATTTTATTGAATACTCCATTTAATTCTCTATAAAATCTCCAAAATTCATCTCTCAACTTACCAGTTGTTGTTGTAATGCCTGACTCATCCTATGCCCCTGAGCATGAGACAAGGTGTGCATTCCAAGACTACCATGAGGCACCGGATTATGGTGACCCCCCATCATCATAGGATGGTGCTGGTTGGAACTCAGAACCATTTCTTGCGAGTTTATTAAGGGAGATGGAGGTGCTGAAACCAAAAAATTATTTAGCATATTCACCAAAAAAACTTTCTCAAACTTACGAGGCATGTTATGCAAATCGTGAGCACCGTAACTTCCTGAATTGGGCGGTGGCGGTGGAGGAGGCGTTTGAGGTTGTATGACGTTTTGTTGACTTTGTTGCGTCATTGGATGAACCATACCAACCTGATAAAATGTAAAAATAAATTTCTTTTCTAAAATTATTTGAATGAATGTTTCAGGTACCTGTGGTTGCGTTTGAGAATTGGTAATAGGCAAAGCACTATAACCAGGTCCTCGTTCCCGTCTAGGATGTCCCATGGGATAATTAGGAGCATAATGACTTGGTACTTGAGGTGGTGCAACAGCTGGTGGTGTACGATACTCTCTGCTGCTTTTAGACAATGTACCACCAGAGACAGATACTATAAACAAAAATGTGTAAATAATTGAAGATAAATGGTAAATCAATATTACCTTTGCTAGAAGTTCTTGACACTTGAGGCGGTGTAGGTGGTTTTGTAGTGGGTGCAGGCCCCACAAGAGGGTTTCCTGGATTGCCAGGCATGGAGTTTACTGAATGAATACTTCCAGAGCTAGAGCCTCTTTGTTTCTGTCTTGGAGTTCCACCACTTCTGACACCGTGGCCAATGTCATCAAATACTAAACAAACAAAAAAATAAATGTATAATAGTGACATTTTTGTTTGAGTTTTTATAAAAACTTACTTGTATAATCAATGGGTTTTCTCAAATATTTAATCGGTTTCTCTGGATTAGCCGGGGCAATGATTTTATATTGTCTGTTGGTGCTTTTGTTGGCTGTTAAAACTCCTATTTCTCTGCGAGCCACTTTCTCCTTGTGGATCATGACAGTTTGAGATATGTGGTTCATTTGGCTTTCCATTTCGGCCAGTTGGGCAGACTAAATTAGATACAAAAATGAATGTGTCAGTTAATTAGAATTATAAAGCAGGATAGTTTTTTTGAAATGGCATGATCAGAACTTGTATTTTTGGCTTCTTCTAAGGATTGAATTTTTTCTGTACTAAGTTATTGAGAAATAATCACTTTGGTATTAGTGTCATTGTAGTATGTGCTTAGATTAGTATGTGTAAATCGAGGGGTCAACCACTCATGAAAAAACCTACAGTGATTTCCAGTTTCTGGGAATACTTCTAAAATTTGGATAGTATTTCCAAGTATTCCCCGGCATTTCTAAATATTGATATAGATATTTCCAAAACTAACTTGTAGTTCCAAGTTTTGTTAAGTATTCTCTTAGGTATTTCCGAGGGTATTTCCAAGTATTTCCCAACAAATAAAAATGGTTTCCATGTACCTACTAGTTATTTCTTTTAAAGTTCAACATATTGTTACAGTAAACTAAACATAATATGCCAACTGTAGGCCTTAGGGCCCTTAGGTAATGGAAAATTAGGGTCAAAATCGAGGTCAAAATGTTACTTATAAAACTGCCATTGAATGTCATTTGAATGAAAATAGGAATACTTAGTTTCCTCTATTACAATTTTATGAAGAGATGTCCCTGAATTGTTGAATAGGTCTTTAAATACAAGGTGCACCTACTATATTTTTGTTATTCTAGGGACGATACTAGGTTATATCTATTTTATTTTCAAATCTTTAGCTAATTAGGAAATTTGATATATGAAAATAAAGGACGAATTTTACTTAAACACATTACATAATATATTCGAAGTGCCTATTGCATTACAGTCGATATTGCACTCGATATTACATAATTAAACATACCAACATTTTTGAAAATCGTTCAAGTAACTACAAGTCTATGTGTTAAGTCTCATGGTAATATACGAAATAGTAACTTTCTAATTCAATATTTAATGATAGACTATTATAGACATCAAAATAATTATCAGGATCACTTTCAGTCTCAAACTTACTCTGCACCTGAGATACTGGACTCACTTGATTCATCAGTGTCTGATAATAGTCTTTGTCTAGGTCTTTTCTTTATATTTTTCCTCAGATTTTGCAGATTGATCAGATATTTTGTCTTTTTAATTTGTTGGTTTGGTATGTGTTCTTTTCGTTTGCGCATTTCTAGCTCGTAACACTCTGTCACTTGATAGACTAACTTTTTCATTGGAAAAGAACCAACAAAGTGTAGATTTCTTGATTGTCATTTTTTTGCTATGCTACAAATGACTTCTGCCTTTTGCATGATTCTACATAGAAATATCTATCCATAGCAGTTTTTAGCTCTTTTCTATCTTACAGGGTGTTCGAAATATAATATCACACCAAAAAGCGCAAAATTTCTATTTCACCCTGTATCTCGAGAATAAAGGTGGCACAATCCTGTTTACTGTTTCACGAAAAACTGATACAGGGTCGCGAAAACCGCAAAGTTCTATCTCTGCTGGTTAGAAAAAGTCGACTTATTCCAGGATTTTATTATTATGCTAAACCAAGTGACTTCGTATAGACTTTAATTCCATCCATGTATTTCCAAATTATTCTCATGTACTTCCAGAGTATTGCTATGTACTTCCAGAGTATTTCCAAGGATTTCCAAGTATTCCTAGGTATTCTCACAGTATTCCTAGGTATTTCCAAAGTACTTATTCCCAGTAAAGTGTACAGGGTGTTTCAAATTCGAGCCACATCATTGGGATCTCGGAAACAGTGAGAGATACAGGGTTGGTTAAATTAGGGCAAAGTTGCGTAATTCGATGCTTAACAAAATGCCGCTTTGATACTTAGGATATTCCGAATACTTCCGTAGATATCCGGAAAAAACCGAAATTTTGCAGAATTGTTTTTATTTTTTTGACTTTATTTGAAGTGATATTTAAAAAAAATATATGACTTCATCACAGCCATTTTTTTTCTCCTACAAGATGCTACCATCAAATTTGAGATATGACGTTTGGTCTTTGAGCCACCATCATCAACTTTATTTTTTTAAATACGACCCTGGCTTTTTTATTTCAGATTTTAGGAGCTTCTGATATCCTAAAACCTATGAGGTATCGCATTTATTCGAAAAAATATTTTTTTCTTATTTTTTAGTAATTTCCTACCAAAATTCTCTTCTCTATCTCTAACACACTAAGTTCTTATGGAAGGTGCCAGTAATATAAATTTTCCGAATAAGTGCAATAGGTCATTGATTTTAGGACATAAAAAGCTTATAAAATCTTAAATAAAAAATAAGGGTCCGCATTTAAGAAAATGAAGTTGATGATGGTGGCCCAAAGACGAAACGTCAGATTTTAAATTTGATGCTAGCATCCTGTAGGGAAAAAAAAGTGGCTATGATGAAGTGACATTTTCTTTTAAATATCTCTTCGAATAAAGTCAAGAAAAAATAAAAACAATTTTGCAAAATTTCGGATTTTTCCGGATATCTCCGGAAGTATTTGGAATATCCTAAATATCAAAGCGGCATTTTGTTAAGCATCGAATTACGCAACTTTGCCCCAATTTAACCAACCCTGTATCTCTCACCGTTTCCGAGATCCCAATGATGTGGCTCGAATGTACAGTGATTTCCACAAGTGATTTATCCCTCTGTGTGAATACTTGAGTTTACTAAGGGTATTTATTAAGGTACCTTTAGGGACTTGGAACACAATTTAGTGCTTGGTTAAATTTCAGGGTTGGTAGTTGGTATACACAAAGACCCATTTCAAAAACCCATTGTGTTTTTGACACAAAACAAAAACCCCTCATCAATAATGACAAAAACCCAGTGGGTTTTGGGCTTCTAGTGTCAAAAATTCCCCTCATACAGAACGCATTCCTACCATATTGCCAAATATCAATTTTAAATCTATTAAAATCTTAATTAACTGATTTGTAGAGGATTTAATTGACTTTGATTAGAACTTAATTACACTAAAATCGGAAAGTTAACGGAGCTGTGAGGCAAAAACTGTCTCAATGTAATTTTTGGCAAATTTTCAATGTTGGATAATTTCAATTTTGAAGCTTCTCAGCTGCAAAACTGTTGTAAGTAAATTAAAATCTTAAATGACAGGTTTTTAGAGAATTAAATTGGCTTTAATTAGAGCCGAATTGCGTGCGTTGAAATTGAACCAAAATTACAAGACCTGTGAGGCAAAAACTGTCTCAATGCAAATTTTCAATGTTCAAAATAACCCGCAAAAACCCAATAGAGAATTTCAAAAACATAGGGTTTTTGCAAACCCTGTTAAACTTGTGGGTTGATTAGCTTAACCAATCTAATTATGTTAAAAGTACCTACTAATCATCATTTGGTCTAATTGCTAGTTGTTATTCTTGTTACTGGCCATTGTTCTTGTAGTAGACAACCTAAATTATTAGTCAGGCATGGTTTATTCATCTTCAGATAAACCTACTGCACCTAACAAAATTTGTACACCAACTAACAGTACTAACTGAGATATTTCCATGTATTAATAGATATTTCTATGTACCTAATAACAAGTTATTGTCAACTATTTCCATGTATTAACAAAATATTTCCACATATTGCCAGGTATTTCCCTAGTATTATCACATATTACCAGGTATTGCCATGCTATTGACAGAGTAAAATCGAATATTTGTCTTGCCAGAATTCTAGGTATTGACATATCCACAGTTATTTACATGTTAATAATGGGTATCAACCAATGACATTAACATATATTGCCTAGATATCTACAAGTATTGACATACAGGGTGTTCCTAAATATCATGTACAAACGGAAGGAAGTGATTCTTTGGTTAATTTTATGACTAAAATTTCCAATAAACATAGGTCCGCAAAGGCTTCGTTACCGATCTACAGGGTGTTGAAATTTTAATGTATTCATATCGAAAATGAGCAAGAATATGGCGGCGAGGGGTGTCTTACTTGTAGATTCCCATTGAAAATTATCAAGAATATGGCTGCGGGATTGTCGCCATTATAGGTAGAAAAGGGTTATTGAGTCACTTTAGTTTCATCTAGCCAATTACAGAGATTTATTTTTTAATTTTTTTCTCGATAAGGGTCGGTGATACGAAAAAACTACAAGAGAACAAAAAGTTTCTAAATAGGGTAAGAAAATTATTTTATTTCTTAGAATCGACCAGCGGCGCACCGCGAAAAAGTTCAGGGGCAGAAAAGGGGGCATGACCCCTGAAAAAACATCACCCTGTGGATTCTGGCAAACGTTTGACATGTGCAATCATCTAGCTTCTATTGCGTAACCTATATTCCAAATTTTAGCTAAATCCCTCAAAAATTGCAGGAGTTATAAAGTAAAAACTAAAAAAAAAAAATAAAATTTCAACACCCTGTAGATCGGTAACGAAGCGTTTGCGGACCTATGTTTATTAAAAATTTTAGTCATAAAATTAACCAAAGAATCACCCCCTTTCGTTTGTACATGATATTTAGGAACACCCTGTATATTACCTACATCCTACATAATTAACAAGTAGGTATTGCATAGTATTGACACTATTGACATATATATTTACCTGGTATTAATATATCTTAACCAGTGATTTGTACACCGATTAACAAGGTGAAAAACCCCTAATGCTTGGTAGATACCAGACTGACCAATAGATTGAGTTTTTATCTGTCAGATTGCATTTATCAGGTGAATAAACCAGGCCTTGGTGTTTAATTATGATGGAGTTAACTCGGGAGTTAAGGACCAATTAGAAAATGAGTTTTTTGTACACTTCCTAACTCTGTAGCTATTCAGGTAGAGGCAGGGTTGGCAGGTATAGGTTTTTTGAAACCTAGGTTTTTTAGGTTTTTCCAAAAAACCTATTTCCTAAAATATGGGCATTTTAGGTTTTTTACAAGGTTTTTTAGGTTTTTTCAAAAAAAAAAAAAAAAATAACCACCACACTATTTAGCTAATATTGTTAACTACTTCTTTCCAGAATTCTATATCTATGTTTTATTTACTGGTTTAGCTATCATTATGTGAATAATTTAAAATTTAATATAGGTACAGGGTATTTGATTATATTTGGCACCATACCTACAGCCTTTACTATTTAAGATAGAAAAAAATTGTAAATACAAAACTTGACAGTTTTTTTCTATATTTTCTTTTAACGTTATCAGAAAAAACAAAATCGCATCGGAAAATGGAGAAACGTAGACAACTTCGACTTTTTCAAATGGAACACCCTGTATATTTTGCGATAAAATGAAATACCTTTTCTTCCTGATTACAAATATACATATGTTGATCACATTTGCATGAGCCATTTTTGACATATCTCAGTTTAAATTATAACTAAATTGCACAGAAATATTATAAAGATAGAGATCCTTATGGAACTTCTCTGCAAATTCTTTATAATTTAACCTGCGATATGTCAACAATTGCTCACGCAAATGTTATCAATATATATATATATATTCATTTTATTATATATATATATATATATATATATATATATTTGGAATCAGAAAGAACAGATCTTTCATTTTATCGCAAAATATACAGGGTGGTCTATTAAAAAAAGTCGAAGTTGCTTACGTTTCTCTATTTTCCGATGCGATTTTGTTTTTTCTGATAACGTTATTAGAAAATATAGAAAAAAACTGTCAAGTTTTGTATTTAAATTTTTTTTCTATCTTAAATAGTAAAGGCTGTAGGTATGGTGCCAAATATAATCAAATACCCTGTACCTACATCACCAATAATGTGTTACAACTGTTACGTACTAAAAAAACCTTAAAAACCTTAAAAAACCTTGAAAAACCTTAAAAAACCTGAAACACTCCAAAAGCCTCAAAAAACCTAAAAACCTAATTTTTTTTTTCCTAAATCGTAGGTTTTTTCCAATTCCAACCCTGGGTAGAGGAATCTAATCTAAGGGTAGAGGCACTACTATATCATTTAACTTGAAGAGAAAATCCCCAAAATCACTTAATTATCATGGCACTATAATTCCAATATAAATAAACCAAATCCAATTCTTACCTGCATCTCAAGCAACTGCAAAAAATTATAAGCCAAAGTATTAATTTGATAAGCAACGCTAGCCAAAGACTGAGTGGTATAATTTTTGGTTTCCTCGAGGGCCCCCCGTTTGTTGTCGGTCTGAAAATAGTTGGCTTCGCAATATTCGGCCACCCTCTGAAGATTGGTGTGGTTGTCGGTGAGGTTGCTACGCCCCTCAGGGATTTCGGAACGGAGCAGTGCAGCTAGTTCAGCCATGGTGTCGCAGTCGCTTACTACGCCCGATTCTCTGCTTGGACTACCTGGCATAAGGATTTGTCTCGTTTTATTCGGGAGCTTTAATTGAAAACAAATAATTTATCAGTAAAGAATGATCTCATTATTTAGGTGTGGTCTAGTTTTTAAGCCTTTAGTTACCTTGTGAATTAAATACTATGTTCATAGTCCGGTTTCAGCTATGTGCCATTTTCTTAATTATTTTTTATAAGCTATAATCATTTATTTATCATAAAAATAGAATTTTTATTAATATTATTTTATGCATACATACACAAAACTCTTTTAATTTTTTTTAAAGACCATTTGTGTTTGACATTTACATCTACAGCTGATTATTGACCTTGGCGGTTATACTTATTTCTTTTTAATTCAAGCTATTGGAAAGAGACACAATATAACACATTTGTTACAGTGCCATCTACCAACATAATGAATAAAATCAACATACTTTACTCTTAATGCTCTGTTGCCAGATCTACTGTTCTGAATTTCAAATTATAAATGTATACAGGGTGTTCCAATGAGGACTAAACAGAGGCTTATTCTCAATCTTCCCTGTATTTTTTTTTTAAAAGTCGAAATAGCGATTAGGAAGGAATATTATTGTTTTTTGAGAATTTGTCACAGATTTTGAAAACAAGGTATCGGCAACACCGCAGATCCGTCAAGATCTAACCTCACAAAACCATCCAAGTTTTTGTTTACAAATTATTTTTCCATAAAATGTTTAAAAAATGAAAAAATTTCAACGTCTAATACTTATTCTAATATCTCTAACTAGTTTAGCCCTATTCCTGATCTACCGGCACCAGTACAATCGTCTGAGACACGTCCTGGAAGTTTTCAATTTTTTCGGGACCCCTTGTAATGTTACCGAGCTGCAGAGGAGCGAAGGATTGCTTGTAGAGCACGATTGGGGCCCTCAGCCTGTTTGGCAAGAGGTCGACAGTAAGGGATTCATTTACAGTGCCTTTTTACAAGAGAAGCACAAGGTAATAATTAATAATTTGCATGAGAATTCATTTATATCATTAAGTTGACTTATTGGGTGGTACAAATGAGAGCAAAGTAAACTTTTATACTTGGAGGACTTCTAGAAGCTGTATCTAATAATAGTTATTTATATAACAAGTACATAAAGTAAGGCTTTATTGTACAAATAATTTTATGGCCGAGCGAGCTTGCGAGCGAGGCTATTAAATAATGAGTCAATAAAGCCTGTTTATGTAAGCGTTATATACATGATTGTATGTACGATTACGACTGGCTTTCGTTAAAAATTGAAAAAATCTAATGAAAAAAGTAAAATTCGCGTAAGTATACCGGTTTCACCTTGGCAGGTTGTCAGGACCTGTTTAACTTTGTCAGGTAGTCCAGGTAGGCAATAAAGTAGCATTTTATTTTACTAGTAAAATAAAGTAGCACTTTATTTTACTAGTACAATAAAGTGCTACTTTATTGACGCAAAACTGTTCTATAAATAGCACTTTATTGGTCAATCGGACATAAAACATTTTTACAGGTACAGGGTGATCTATATGTCACCCCCCAGCCTAAATGATAGATATACTTTTTCTTTCTTTAACATGACCTGATGGAAGGGTTTTCGCAATTTTTTTTTCGAAAATCAGGCTGAAGGAGATCAACAAATAAGCGAACAATATAATATATTTTCCATCCAAAAAATTAAAACTTTGCTCTATTGCTCTGCTAGCCTTTTGCTCGGCCTTTTGTAACGCATCCTGTATGCCCGAGGGGTGTTTCACTGGCCACAATATATGTACAAATTTCGGTATAGTATTGCGGCAGTAATTTCTCAATAGCTCACAATAGTCACAATATCATGCAATAGAATGCAATACCTTGCAATAGTGCATATTACTTTACAGTAGTCTACAATAATTCGCAATGTTCCACAATACTCTTGCAATTGTCTGCAATACTCTCACAATAGCCAGCAATACTCTCACAATAGTCTACAATATGCTCGCAATAGTTGACAATATCATTACAATAATCTAAAATACTATCGCAATAGCTTGCAATAAGTTTGCAGTAGTTCTTCACTTTATTTTTTATACTCTTGTTGATGAAAATCCTTGAGATTATTTCTAAGATTGTTTTGTTTCAGTGTGGTTTTTTTATATTTGATAAGTTATTTGGAATATTTGTGCAGTAGCATGCTATATATTTAATTTTTGCATTGGTTGGGACAAAAATGCACATGGCATTCAACTGTCTCTATACCAAAAGCTATACATCAGCGTCTATCACTCGTTAAGTATAAATTTTTGTTGCACTTTATTTTAACTTTAACCAACTTTAACTTACAAGTGTAGGAAAATAGAACAACTGTAAAATAAATGGGCGGGATTGTCTTTTTCTCTGGGCCTTTGTTCTTGAAACAAGGGTGCAGCATTTCCAGGAGAATGAGTGTTCCGTCTTTGTTACTTATATTATCATTCGCATATCATTGAGAAAGACTGAATACCCGTTCTCCTTACAACGTTGCTTCCCTATTTCAAGAATGAGGACCCTGTTCTATCGCTCCTTTTTACGGTCCCTCTTTTTGGTATTGGGTTTGCGTCGCAATTCTTCAGATGTCAGGAATAGACAATATCCAAGATTAGGTATACGGTTAACTGTTTTGACGAATAATCAACTTTGAACTTGACGCCAATTTCAACAAAATAGACTCAATTCGACGGACTCATCTGAGGGTTATCAGGAAAAAACTAATAATGACGTTGTGATGGCAGACAAAGAACCAGCAGAGGAACTCAACTCTCTTAAAAATTATATAAACAGGGTAGCTTTTAATAGTTTTAATGTTAAAGATTACAATGCTTACTTAGGTAACAGATATGAACAATGGAATGTTTTTGAAAATACATTTAAAAAACAGAAAGTCAAAGACAGTAAGAAAGTTAACTCTTTGTTGTTTTTTTGCTGAAAAAAACAGACAACTCTGATATTCATACAAGTGAAAATTAATTCGAAAATTAAAGTTTCATAATGTAGAAGTAATAAACGATGAAGGAGGAAGACTAAATATTCGACCTTAATATTATTATGCAGTATATTATGTTATGATACTATTGATACTACTTCTTACATCGCAAAAGTACGGCATACAGACAACAAGAAAAGCAAAGTGAAGTTTCTTAAATTTAACGTATGCCAGTTTAGATGGCCTGAAAAAGATGAATTGATGATCTCATCCATTCGATTTAGATCATAATGATTTGAATAATATGAAAAATTTGAAGAAATAGGAAATACCTATGTACTGCAATAACTTGCAATAGTTCATAATAATCACAATGGTTTGCAATATCTAGAATCATTGGGCAATAGGTTGCAATGGTGCACAATACTCTGACAATACTCTGCAATACCTGAGTATTGCACAATATATGTACAAAAAAACTTTAGTGAAATACCCCTCGTGTATGCCTATGTAAAACCGAGGGGGTAACAACTGGTGGCAATACATGTACAAATTGTATTGCATTAAAAGCATTACGTGCGCATAACGATGCATTACTGGCATTACTGCGGAATTACCGGCTTTGAGATGGCATTACTTTGGCACCATGGGTATAGTCAGGGATTATACTGGGATTACCAGGCATTACGTACAAATATCGCTGAATTACGCTCGCATTCAATGGAGTTACAGTTGATTTTAACCTACGAATATTCCAAATATTCACTGAGAGATCATATTCATATTAACAGTACCAACCCCAATATTAAAAATATCTTTGGGTAAGTTTGTATATCTATAAAATGGAAATAATTTCATATATACAGGGTGAAACAAAAAAAAGTTTCCGTGAAATATGTATTTGTTTCAAATGGGACACCCTATATTATAGGTCTGTTCTCACAGAAACTAGTTAGAAAACTTGTGTGTTGTTAGCGATTTGCACAGAGAAAACAACTGAAGATAGGAGAAAACGAGTTTCACTTTCCTGTTCTAGCTTGACTATACTTGAGAGCTACTCAAAAGTTGTTATAATGGTGGTACCAAATTTGGTATCCAAACTACCATTATCGAGACCACCCAAAGTACCATCATTATCAAATAGCTATTGAAATGTTAAGATCTCAGTAGAGATTTTTTTTTTGTGTACAATCCAAAAATAACATAATCAGTCAATATGAATAAAGTATAGCAAAAATACTTTTACTCTACCTCCATCTCTTTTTACTGCATTAAAGCTGAATATGTTTATCTCAAAAAACTTGAGCAGAAGCATTTGCTCCTCGATTTGCTCCTGTTTTATTCATATATGAGCTGAGCCAATAATATATAGGGTGCCCCTCAGGGTGTCGCATTTAAAACAAATAACTAAATATTCTACTGCAACTTTTTTCTGGCTCACCCTGTGTATGTAAAATTTTTTATATTTCATTGATTCTTGTTAACCCTACAACTTTGCTATACATGTAATGAATTAAAATGTCAAATAATTACTACTTACATAATTCAATTTTTGAAAAATGATCAAGAAAATATCATATGGCCTTGGGATAGAGTAAAAATCAAACAAGAAGAAGTCATTGTCGTAAGAGCTGACAAAGAAAGCAGATTTCCTTTTCTCTGTGTCCCTGCCATTTAAAGTGAGACAAACGATAACGCGTGTGGCTTCTTCTCGTTTGATTTCTACTCTAATGACGTACTACAATCTGACAAGGCCTACATTTTTTATTTTCGGAAATCGCATCGCATCGCAATTTCAAAGGACCGTACCACTAGAGATTTTGAGGATTTCGATAAATTTATTGGGATTTCGGGTCTTCAGAAGGATTCGGGTTGAGATTTCAGGAGGATTTCGGTTGGGATTCCGAGATTTCAGAAGGATTTCAGTTGGGATTCCGGGATTTCAGAAAGATTTCGGCTGGGATTTCGGGATTTCATAAGGATTTCGGATAGGATTTCGCTGTTCGCGATTTTGAATGGATTTCGGGATTTCCAAAGGATTTCGAAAGAATTTCAAGAGATTTCGAATGAAAATGTACAGCGATTTCGGGCTGCGGCTGAGGAGCGGCTCACTAACTACAATTTATACATCGATTTCGGAAATCGCATAAGATTTCGACAATTTTCAAGGGATTTCGAAAGATCCGGATATTTGACTTTCAACGCCGTACCACTAAGGCCAACACTAAAGATTTCGAGGATTTCGAAAAATTTATTGGGATTTCGAGATTTCAGAAGGATTTCGGGATTTCGGTTGGGATTCCGGGATTTCAGAAGAATTTCGGGATTTCATAAGGATTTCGGATAGGATTTCGCTGTTCGCGATTACGAATGGATTTCGGGATTTCCAAAGGATTTCAAGGAATTTCGGATGAAAATGAAAAACACATTTTGACTCACAACTTTGTTAATTTCAATCTGATCTTAACGTAATTAGGCTTCATTAAAACCAATTAAATTCTCTACAAATCCTGTAAATGATTTCAATGCAACTTCAATAGTTTTGCAGCTGCAAAGCTTCAAAGTCTTTTTTGGCTTGGATTTTTATTCAAAATGACACCAACACACATTTTGTCTCACAGCTTTGTTAATTTGGATCCAATCTTGATGTAATTAGGCTTCAATTGGAGCCAATTTAATTATCTACAACTTTTCTCTGCATGATTTCAATGCAACCTCAATAGTTTTGCAGCTGCAAAGTTTCAAAGTCTTTTTTGACTTAGATTTTTATCGATGGGCAGCTTACTCACCACAATTTGTACATCTATTTCGACAATTTTCAAGGGATTTTGAAAGATTTTGGATATTCGACTTTCAACACCGTACCAATAAGGATTTTGAGAATTTCGATAAATTTATTCGGATTCCGAGAATTTCGATTTTATTCGGATTTCGAGATTTCAGAAGGATTTCGGTTGAAATTTCGGGATTTCAGAAGGATTTCGGTTGGGATTTTAGATTGTTTCCAAATGCTTTGTAAAGTGTTCTAGAGTGTTCCAAAGGTTTCTAAAATGTTTCTGAAAGTTCAGAAGTGTTCTGGTCTGTTCTAGAATGTCTCTTAAATTCTAAATTGGTTCTAAAGTATCCTGGTAACGTTTTACAATGTTCTTAAAGATTCCAATTTGACTCAAGCAAATGCAGAAATTTGTGCATTAAATTGAAAGTGTTCTGAGGCTTATCAAAGTTCTAAATTGCTCAAGACGGTCTTAAAATGCTTGGCTCTAGCACATTCTCAAGCTTTACAAAATGCTTTCCAAAATGCTCGCCAAAATGCTTTCCAAAGTCTCCAGTTGATTTCTCAATGATTTTGAAATGCTGGGATGTTCTAGTAGTTATCAGAAATCTTCCAAATGTTCTTAAGCGCTCTTTGATACTTCTGTAGTTATCTATTCGAAATTGTTAGGTTCAAATCTCGGTTCAAATCTTCGGGCAAATACATAAAAATTGGTATAGGTATATCAAAAACACAAATATCCACCAAAAACATCTAAAATCCAATCCACTATCCAATATAATACAATTAGCCGGATTTTTGTCAACCCTGCTCTTACATCACCTTTGAAAGGTTCTGAAAAATATTTCAAGAATTTAGAGCGATTTCAAACTTTCAGGATTTATCAGTTGAAATATTTTCATTGGATAAAACAAATTTTAATATTATTTGAAGCTCAGAAATAAAATTATGATTTTTTTTTACCACATCAATACTGAAAATCACTGATCAATAAATCTCATGTAGTCCCAACCCAAGAATTGGGACTGATTGCCAATAATTTTCAGATATTTTTCTATGATTACCAAGTGATTTCCATTTTTTCTGGGGAATCCTATATCATTCCCAATTGATTAGGTACCTAATTTGCTCGATGATTTCCTACAATCATCCGATTCACAGCTGATTCACCTAATTACGAAAACAATATCTAATTGATATGATCGAAATAAACAGTCTTTTCTCTTATACCTAAAAACAGGTACGGGTTCCACTGGAAAATTGGCAACTTCTGTATTTGCAACTTTCCAAAAGTTAGCACTTTTATTTTCTTGGTTGTCCGATTTTGTTGTAGGTATAAATAGTTGTTGAACCTTAGATACCATTACGTGTCTACACTGCATAATATAGATCTAAAATAATCGATATTTCTTAGATTTCACTAGGATTTTCATCTGAATCAGAGACATTTTCAGTTAGGATTTCACTCAACAAAAACCTATTTCTGATTCTGATTCAGATGTGTTATCGTCTGCTTCTCGCACTGCCTAGTATTTATTCTACTTTCCCCTTTCCCTTTTCAAGTTCTTATTGCCTTGGATTCCCGATTTTTTTTTCTGTGTCTTCCTCAGGGACATTCCCATATCTTCTAATACTCGATCAACAAACGTCCCTGCTTCTCTAAAAAGAACCAATTTATAGTTGAGCACTGAATAATCTCTAAATTGTAGCGAATACCAATTGCTTAACCCTGATGTGTGAAGAAATCTGTGTCGTCTTTTGGCAAGTCGGATTCGAGAGATGTTTCATTTTTTCATTTGTATGCTCTATAACATTGTTATACTTTCGAAAGCTTGTTGCTTGAAAACAGACTGACGCGCTAGCGGAGGTCTGTTTTCTATAAGCAACAATTTCATAGAGTTAAAACAACCCATGGGTTCACAAACCAGTCAGAGCGAATTTCATTGGTTGAAAATAGTCAGAAAACTGGTTGTTGGCGATTTGCACCAATCAAAAACCCTCTGACTGGTTTGTGATTTCTGTGAGAACAGACTTAACTTCATCTCGTTCTTCTTCTTCTTCAAGTTCTAAACTCTTCGTAGTATCGGGTTCAGTTATTGGCTGAGTTATTAGGAAACTCGTTGGGATATCAAATTCTCTTCAAATTGTCTAGCACTAGCTTTGTTCCAACTGACATGAGAACCTTTCCAGTACCAGTAATTTCCAGTTGCCCACCTATTTTTCAATTAGTTGAACGTTTATCCTACTTGACAAATGAATTGATCAACTGGAAAGTACCATTCTAGAACGGTTCTCATGTCGATTGGAGCTAATGTTACCTAAAACTTCGTCTTAAAGGCAAATACACAACTGACCAGTACGCTGTATCGCTTTAAAAATGTATGATATGCGATTTCTGAGTTAGAATGAGATAATAGTTCCAGCGATTGCCACATGATTTTTAGCGATTGCCCGTGGATTTCTATGTTATTCCCATGGACTTCTAGGAGATTCCTAGCGATTCCTAGGTTATACCCAGGGACTCCCAAGTGATTTCCACTGTCGAATCACCTTTGAAAGCTTCTGAAAAACACTCCTTCTCTCCAAATAAAATTAATCAGAAGTGACCAAATGGCTTAGAAATAAAAATATGAGTTTTTTTCCAATTCAATATTAAAAAAACATGTACAATTCTTGTTAAACCTTCTCCGGCAACTTCTCAAAAACACTTGAAACAATCAAATTAATTTTATTCCAGGTCCAAGGTATAGGAATTCGTCATGCCAGCGTCGCCGTCCCGAAATCTTGCTTCCTGCTGTTCGAGGACGACAACAAACCGTCAAAAAACAAATTGACAGTGTCCAAAATACTCGAAGATAAAACAACAGGTTTTTTAGCTTATATTTACACTTGCCAGTTTACCAAAAACGATAAACGCCCTTACGCTATCGCCTTCAAGTCACTGAGCGGTCCAAAATTTGTTACGACTTTGTTAACTGATAATTTAGATAAGAAATTTAGTTTTAATAGCACCATTTGTTTGCTACCTATTGCTAGTCAGTTTTCGAAAAAATCTGTTATAGAATTTTTAAGTTTTCATCATTTGTTGGGCGTGGAAAGTTTTATTGTTTATTACGAACAAAATTTCTCTTATAAACTAATGAAACTACTCAAAAACCTCTCGAATACGTTGAATATGTGGATAAATTTTTATCCATACAACTTGCCTTTGTTTGTTCCTAAAAATTTTACAAATATTTTAATCGAATTAGATTGTCAATTGAGGACAAAAAATCAATCAAAATACTCCATTACTCTGGGAACAAACGATTACGTTGTGCCTTCATTGGACAATTCCAAAACGACTATTTTAAAAATACCAATCAAAAAGTTTTGTTTGAATCATAGTAACGTAAATCGGCCAATGGTGTTGCAGAATTTCGATTCTATAGACGATTTTCAATTTAATGATGTTATCAAGTTGAACAAATTCAAAAGTTTAAATTATACTAAATTCGTAAATGTTTTTGATATTGATTGTGTGATATACAGATATGAGAAATGTGAAAGGGGTATTAAAACTAAGACTGATTTCTCTATGAAAAGATTTTCTACTGATCTGACTCGAAGTACTTTGGTCCAATTGTTGATACATGAAGAGGTTTAAATAAAAATGTTAATAATTATCTTATTCAATTTGTTCAAGAATCTGCCTTATGCTCTCTTCTATGCTTTCCCAGATGACAATTTTCAAATTTACTTCATAATTGAGATATACAAATTTATACGATTGATTATATTTAAGATCAATTTATAATAAAACTATTTGTTATTCAATATGTTTTTTATTTGTTGGTTGATAAAATTGAAAAAAATTAGGCACCAAGTGATATTCATCGATGTGTCAAGGACACAGACATAGCCGTTTCCCAGCCAATGATACGTCGTTACCTGAACTGAGTAGGGTAGGTACACGGAAAAAAAAACTTTCCATAGGACATAGAAGGAAGGCTTCGCAGTAAGAATAGGAGGGCACGTGACATAAGCGAGAAATATTGTGCCTCCAAATCCGCAACCATAAACTAGGAACGATTCAATTTTCTAAAAAACGTAGTGAGTTGAAGACCAGCGTTATGGAAAAATTAGTGGTCACGCCGTAGAGTTGGCAATTTAAAACGGCAGCAATTTGAAAAACTGATACCCCAGTCAAAAGGCATAGAGAAGAGTTCCCGATTACGCAGTCGTTCTGTTAACATATCCAGGCGGGTCTTCCATTCTGGATTCAGCAGAACCAAAGAAGCCAGTGAAGACGTCTTGCGGCCTACTTTCGAATACTAATGGTCGAATATCAAAATGGATGTAGCCCATGGTATCGGTACTCATTTGGGTCCTTCTCTCCTCAGGGTCTCCTTACCAAAAGGAGCAGTAGCTACACTTCTCTTCAGGGTTGCCTTATTACCACAGAAACTCTTGGAACAATCCTCTTCATGGCCGCTTTACCCTAGAGAGTATTTCCTTTCAGGGCATCGCCGTCTATACGTGCGGAAAGCAGTTGCATCCTCGTATATGTACGTAGACCCCCGAACTTGTGGCGCACCTTCATAGTGCCCTTTTGGCGATATACCCACTAGCAGACAATAGACGTTAAGCTCCTTTTTGTAGTTGTGTGTTTTCCTGAAGAGCAATCCCTTACCTGAGGTCCGGCCCACATTAGGCATATAACAATAGCACTGATTGAATAAAAAGAGGAAACATTTATTCTGAAAGCAGTTTTAATAACTTTCAATATCCCTAACGAATAATATTGTTAATATAAGGTAAAAATTCCGTTATCTTAGTATAAACTCCTGGCGTTGCAGCTGCTCCGCAAATTTGTCCCCAGGAAACTATTCCAAGTTGTACTCCATTGGAGACAAGAGGTCCACCAGAATCACCCTAGTAAAAAAGACCAAATTTCTTTAATACCAAATATATTTGTTTTGTGGCTGATTGCTCACCGTGCAAGAATCCTTTCCTGCAGATCCTGCACAGATCATCCTCGGAGTTATGGCACTACCATAACTGTAACTGTTCTGGCACGAGGTAGTGGTAATAAGAGGAACAGTGACTACCTACAAAAATTAAATTTAGTGATTATAATACTACTTGATAAATTCCAACCTGTAAAATGGTAGCTAAATCTCCATTGTCGCTGGTAAGGCCCCATCCTGTTGCTACTGAGTTTTGCCCATTAACAAAACTGGTACTGGCAGACGGAAGCTGGATTGGTTGGACACCAGTTCCAAAGGTCTACAAGAAAAAGGTGTGTAACTTTTGCTTCATTTGCTCATAAGCTAATTACCAATGAGCTAGCTAACTCTAAGACAGCAACATCATTGTCGAAGGTATCATAATTAAAGCCAGGGTGAGAACTAATCTTTTTTACTTTAAACATTTGGCCTCCGCTAGTTCTTAGAGAAGATCCTACTCGGACTCCGAATTGACTTACTCTGGACCTAAAACAAATTCTGGCAATGTTAAATAGGTAGGTACTGGGAAGGGCTGCAACTTACTCGTCATGAAAGCAATGAGCAGCACTCAAGATGAAATCTTTCGTTATAATTGATCCTCCGCAAGAGTGTTCTCCGTACATTAGGATGGACACTTGATAAGGATAGTCTGCAATGTTGGCATCGTTTCCACCAACGATACGGATTAGATCTGACCTTGGGCTATGCTTAAGACTCAGAGGACTTCCTAGGAAAATGAAGCAATTTTAAAATAGCAATAGGGTAAAATCATCTTCTTCGCTAAGTTAATTTCTCAACGAAACTTCACCAAAAATCGTAGATGCCAATACATAATTTTGCAACAAAGCTGCAAGGGAATGGAGAAAACTTGAAAAAGGATTATTGATAAAATACCTATCTTTGTAATTCTGCAATGATATTAGAGATAAAAATCTAAGGGGAACTACATATTGTCTATTATTATAAAAGGTAGGTTGGTACTATAGATATAATTCCAGTAAAAATTGAAAAGTTGGAACTTACCACTAGCTAAAGAACATACTCCCAACAAAAATACCACCGACAGCATCTCGCTACTAAACTCCGTGCAATATTGTATCTGAAACAATAATAAATCTACCTACATACGTACACCGTTTGTTATATATTAAAAATTGAAGATTTTTAATCTCTTATAGATAAACAAACAATGATAATGAGTATTATTTTTTTCTGATTACTATTGTATTATTGAAACTTAAGGAATAATAAAGTGCTTATCACTACTATGGTACTTAGTTGCGGTACCTATGAAAAGGATTAATTTGGAAGTTTTTGACTTAAAAAAGGATTGTTATTGATACATTGTATTTTTTTGGAAATGGTAATCTCCAGATAGGAGAAATGGAGCTATAAATTATTATTTATATTTGGAAAGAAAAACGCAAATGGGTAATCATAACAATAAATTATTGATTATGTAGGTAGGTACTTCAGAAATAACTGGCAAATTGCATAAAAATGATTAGGTACACGAAAGTAGGGTCTGTGATATATATTTTTTTTTTTAAAAATTCTTTCACATTAAGGAACAAGTATATGTGAGGTGTGCCCCCATAGAGCAAATCTGATGGTGTTAAGGTTTAGAGATCAAGATGGCCATTGACAATGATCCAATCATTATTCCAACGTTTGTAGGTATTGCACTATACGTTTTCATTTTCAAAGAAAGAAGTTTTAGGCTCTAAAATGTTCAATTGAAAAGATTCCTAATAGGTAGGTATCCCTATTTATTAAATTTAGAAGAAAAATCATAATTTATTGATTTAAGTATCTGCTTCCATTATTTATTATATTGTTTTCCGTTTTATTTGTTTCCCAGAAGTCACATTTTGTGTAGATATGAAGATGTTTCGAAATAGAATTCTAGGAATTATTGCATGAGATCAGAATATCCACCTAAATGGATAATGCTGGACTCAGATATGCTAGTACTGGTAGTACACGGATCTGAGCCAAGCGACATGCTGAATTACGAACTCAGGAAAAACTTAAATGAGTTACCTGATTGGGGAAGGCAAAAATTCGCACGACTGCTAAAATTCAATACAGAAACTTACAATGGATACACTGGAAGTTGGAAAATTCCAAAAATTGCTGCACATGACTGCCAGTTAGGGAAAACCTGAAGGAAAGCTCTTATATTCAAAGCATGGAAAGTAGGTATCTAATTGAAGCAGAACAAGCATATTTGAGAAATATCTATGGATCTTTTACATGCATTCTTAAGTTATCATCCATCTTCAGATATAGGTACCTAATATTTGAGGTCATCGATATATCTCGTCGATGTGATGTGTGATGTGCCTCTTGTTCTGTGCCCTTCTTTTGAATCTTGTTATCAGTTCTATGGAGTTCTATCTGAGGTCTGAAACTCTATTTTAGATTGTTGACTTCCGGTGCTTCAAAATTCCTAGTATTCTTGGATCCATAATTCAACTTTGTATAAATGCCGAAATTATCTTATTGAGGCTCACCTAAATAATTTTTTTAAATAACTACACGTAATCCGAGGTATACTTTGAACGTGACTGATCGCTTTCAGATAAAAACTGAACTGGCAAATTTAGTGAAATTAAGCATGAAAATCGTGCTTTTGAATGCATGTTATTCAACATAATATAATAATAATATACTTTTTACAATTTACTAGGAAACCATTTAACGTAACATACCTACTTTATTAGGTAATATTTTTCAATTCCATTGAGAATTACTACAAACATTTTCATGTTGGTGGCTGGAAAGCTTTGTAACTGGGTCATTTTCCAAAAGTTACAATATCCTATTGATTGATTGATTGATTTGAAAGGGGAGTCTTTATAGGCAGCACGTAGACGCGCATGTGGTCCATTTTCCTATCCCCCTCTTGCTGCAGCCCTGTCTGAACCAAAGAGAAGTAGTTTGAGATAAGACACCAATAGTCGGAAGTGCGTTGTTTCCAAAATACAGAGTGTTAAGATTTAAACAATCCCCTTTCATATCATCTGAAGGGCTAATGCTAGGCTGTTCAAATTTTCAGAAATTGATTTATGATGATATTAAAGGGGGTTGTTCAAATTTCAACACCCTGTATTTTGGAAATGACGCACTTCCGACCATCGGTGTCCTATCTCAAACTACTTCTCTATGGTTCCTCTATATACCCTATAGCATTTTTGACCAGTTGAACGTAATTCAGCTTTGAAACTGGTGTAACTTTGACTGATTCAACTTCTTCCTGATATATTGGTTCTGTTTTCTCCCAATTGCTTATTTTTATTGGTTCTTCTTCTGCATTTTCAACTTCTTGCTCAATTTCTGACCTTCTTGATTGTCTTGTTCTCGATACTTGATGATTCCTTTCCTGATTGCCGTCAGATTCAATATTCAATTCTTCTCTGACTTCTGTGGATTTTTTCTTTTATGGTATGATGTCATACTCTCAGTATCATACAGAAAGTTGCTGGAAAAAACTGGTTGAAAACGCATCCATAGGCGCCGGAACCATGGGGGCACTGGGGGCTTGGGAGGTATTGTATATAGTGGGTAGGCAGGACAATATTGAGTTTCTAACTATTTATTTTTATATCAAATTTACATGTTTTATGTTTTCGTTGTTTTTGCTATATCATACCTACATTAACAAACAGTTTGATTATTTTGTTGTATAGTATTTAAACCTGTATTCTCAATAAGTCGTTGGATTATTATTTCCTTTCCGTTTGTTTCCATGATAGGTATGTTTACATCACATGAATATATCATGATGTACCAATACACTGGCTTTTTCTACCTAGTTGATTTCAAAAATTCGCTGAGGGCGAACCAATGGTCCTATCGAGCTAAAATTTGGTACGAATCTAGTGGAGTACGAGTTTTATCGAAAAAAATATACGGGGGACCCCTATCTGAAAAGCAAAGCCCCCTGGGAGCCACAATTTTTTTTTTTTTTGGCCGATTCGGATACAATTCCGAATATAGCTGAAAGGGGTCCAGAAAAGTTGATATTCCAAGTTTCAGCCCTCTTTGACCTACCGGAGGGGTTTTAGCCTCTATCCCCTCAATTTTGGGAAAGGGCGTGTAATGGTGCATACACGCCCTGCATTTACTTTTCCGAATTTTGAAAAATGAAAAATACCACCGGATAGAGGAGCCAAAAATACGTCGAAAATGTTTCTTGGTGTTTTTTGCTCCGACGCTTCGTAAGCCCGAAAATAAATAAAAAAGATTTTGATCCAGGAAAATTTTGGGAACCCGACACGGCGCCTTTTGAATTATGTCGTCGAGCTGCAAGGCTGATCGGCTGAAAATTGCCATCTTCTCGAAACAACCGTGCCGTAGAAAAATAAAGTACCTTATCGACCTTCAGGCATTACCTTATCTCAACAAAATTAAGTTGCGTGAGGCAATAATCTGTTGATTGCAAAAAAAATTTGAACCAAAAAGCCTTGTGATTACCATTTAATGTAAGTTTGAATTTCAACCCACCTCGTGGTAAGTTTTTTTATTTTTTTTCAAGTAATAGCTTTTCAAGGAATGCCTTATTACTTAGGGTCTTTCGGAGAGCCGTTTTTCTCAACAAGTCCATTCCAAAAAAAGCCACATTTTCAATAGAACACCATTTCCTTGGAGTGTGGCATAGAGCTTTTGAAGGGATTCCTACCCTACAAAAATCAAGACCCTCACAAGTCGATACGTGTGCCCCACATTTGACGACGATTCTAGTCCTTTTTCGCTAAGGGCGGACCGATGGTCCTATCGAGCTGAAATTTGGTACGAATCTAGTGGAGTACGAGTTTTATCGAAAAAAATATACGGGGGGCCCCTATCTGAAAAGCAAAGCCCCCTGGGAGCCACAATTTTTTTTTTTTTTTTGGCAGATTCGGATAAAATTCCGAATATAGCTGAAAGGGGTCCAGAAAAGTTGATATTCCAAGTTTCAGCCCTCTTTGACCTACCGGAGGGGTTTTAGCCTCTATCCCCTCAATTTTGGAAAAGGGCGTGTAATGGTGCATACACGCCCTGCATTTACTTTTCCGAATTTTGAAAAATGAAAAATACCACCGGATAGAGGAGCCAAAAATACGTCGAAAATGTTTCTTGGTGTTTTTTGCTCCGACGCTTCGTAAGCCCAAAAATAAATAAAAAAGATTTTGATCCAGGAAAATTTTGGAAACCCGACACAGCGCTTTTTGAATTTTGTCGTCGAGCTGCAGTTGATCGGCTGAAAATTGGCCATCTTCTCGAGACAACCGTGTCGTAGAAAAATAAAGTACCTTATCGACCTTCAGGCATTACCTTATCTCAACAAAATTAAATTGCGTGAGGCAATAATCTGTTGATTGCAAAAAAAATTTAAACCAAAAAGTCTTGTGATTACCATTTAATTTAAGTTTGAATTTCAACCCACCTCGTGGTAAGTTTTTTTTAATTTTTTTCAAGTAATAGCTTTTCAAGGAATGCCTTATTACTTAGGGTCTTTCGGAGAGCCGTTTTTCTCAACAGGTCCATTCCAAAAAAAGCCACATTTTCAATAGAACACCATTTCCTTGGAGTGTGGCATAGAGCTTTTGAAGGGATTCCTACCCTACAAAAATCAAGACCCTCACAAGTCGATACGTGTGCCCCACATTTGACGACGATTCTAGTCCCTTTTCGTTAAGGGCGGACCGATGGTCCTATCGAGCTGAAATTTGTTACGAATCTAATGAAGTACGAGTTTTATCGAAAAAAATATACAGGGGGCCCCTATCTGGAAAACAAAGCCCCCTGGGGGCCACTAATTTTTTATTTTTTTTTGGCTGATTCGGATGAAATTTGGAACATAGGTGAAAAGGGTCCAGAAAAGTTGATATTCCAAGTTTCAGCCCTCTCCGACCTACCGGAGGGGTTTTAGCCCCTACCTCCTAATTTTGGAAAAGGGTGTGTAATGGTACATACATGCCCTGCATTTATTTTTCCAAATTTTGAAAAATAAAAAATACCGCCGGTTAAAGGAGTCAAAAATACGTCGAAAATGTCTCTTGGTGTTTTGCGCTCCGACGCTTCGTAAGCCCGAAAAAAAATAAAAAAGATTTTGATCCAGAAAAATTTTGAAGGCCCGACACGGCGCCACTTTTTCGCCCATAACTTCGGTAATTTAGAACCGAATATCTAGAATCAGGTTTTCTTCGAAAGAGCAGTAAATTACCTACAAAACTGTTTCCAGGTTGTTTCTGTTTCTGAGATATAAGCCGTCAAAGTTGAATTTTCTCTGAAAATGTATTGAAAGTTTTGAAGTCGATTTTCTCAAAAAGATGCCTCGTGGAGGAGTAACTTTAGTGAGCTTTTTTGTAGTTCTCAATAAGATCTACAAGTTTTGTAGTTGAGGTTTTTCTCCCAGACTCTTCGTTTTTTCGCTAGGCTGCTTTGAAATTAAAAAAAAAATAAATAAAAATAAAGACTGTTTTGAACTTTTTTGTCATGGCGGTCTAAAGGGGATTCCAAATATCTCCTAAATGGGTTCAGTTTTTTTTTTCTCATTTTATTGACTTTTTTTAATTCAAAATATATGTTTTTGCCTTGATATTTATGATATTATAGTAAAAGTAACGTTCTACTATAAATTCTTATCAAAATTTGTGGAAATGGCCTCATCCACGCTTGCCCCCACCATTAGAAGTCCCAAAAATACCGTAAAAAGACCAAAATTTCGCGCCTGCGGCGGAGCTTCAAAGATTTCTCCCTAGAAATTTGCCCCCTCTCCTCGAGACAAAATCCTGGCTACTCCAATGCTGCTGCCGAAGCCGAATATAGCCGAGCTGCCGAAAATGTACGAATTTTATTAATATGTAGGGACGATCAATGATCCAGCATAGCCATCCTGCAGTGAAATTGTTATCTGTCAACTGGTCCCATTTCTAGCCTATGTGTGTAGTAGTCTAGTCCTGTTTGTATAATTAATTATACTTTTGGTAATTTTTGTAGCCCGAGCCCCCATATTTAGTAATTTTGAAATTCCGGCGCCTATGAACGCATCTGGACAAACCAAATTGACAGGTGTGTTACACCTGCCAAAATTTATCAAAATTCAAATTCAACTCTCAAAATCTACATGTCATAAATTCATAATTCAGTCACGATGTCACCCATTTTCGGCAACATCATTTTCAAAATTCTCGGTAATTTTCAACATCATGAAAAACATAGTCACGCACGCAGACTTTTATCCATTTTTTCGAGAAAATCTGTAAGTGAGAAAATGAATAATTTTTGCATTTAACAAATTTCCTATTTAGAAAATCGAAGAAACTTCCCCATACATCATTGTCAGAGCAAACACAAAAGATTATGATCAAATATTGAAAGTTATGCACGAAAGTTATTATGCAAACGAACCAACGGTGGCATCCCTTAAAATCCCTCCTAATCCCTTCATGGATGAGAGAGCCTTAAGGGCTATGGCTAAAGGATATACTCTAGGTGAAAATATTTCTTAATTAATTTGAAATGTAATGATTTTTATATAGTTGCCAGATGTAAGCACAATGGCTGCATAGTGGGAGCATGCATCAACGAAGCCGCACATCCCTGGGATCCAGAAATCGACGAAAAACTTTCCTGCGGAATTGAAAACGAAAACATTAAAAAGCTTATTATGTTTTACGCTTATTTAATGAAAGCTCCTGATCTATGGAGATGTTTGGGAGTAGGAACTGTTTACGAAGTAGATGTCCATAAAAAAAACATACATACAATTTATATTTTTATTTTTTGTAGATGGCTTATTTATTTGTAAAAAGACAGCATCGTAAAAAAGGCTTGGCCTTTAGGCTGATGCAAGAATCCAAAACTTTGGGAGCCGACTCTGGTTTTCCTGTACTTAGATGCGATGCTACCAGTGTCCATACGTAATGCTAAAACAGTTTTAATTTTTGGTTTCATATACAAAATATTTCAGAGCTAAAATCTGTGAACGCCTTGGCATGCAAAAAGTAGCCGAAATTCCTTACTGTTCATATCTGGACCATAATTTGGAGCCTGTATTCAACCCCCCATGGCCTCATGAAGGAGTTCAAACCTTTTGCGACTGCGCACCACAGTATAACGAACTTAAGAAGAAAATACAGACAAGAAAGAGCTTATTTAGTCTAGAAAAATCTAAAGACAAATATACTTGATGCAATATGGAGATTGAAAATTGAAAAAAAAAATATAGGAAAAATAAATTGAATTGTAGTCCAACGTTCAATTAATTCAAATAAAGCTGAAACCAAACCGGAACATTTTATAATAAATCAAAAAAACCTACATTATTACACCATAAGCTAAATAATTTCTTATAGCAAAATTACCATAACGTAATAGAATCCCAAAACTGTTGCGGTTAGTTGGCATACTTCCTTGGTAATGTTAAACAAATTAAGCGGTTTTAATAAGGAAAAAGAAAAAAACAATCTAGTTTTATAATAAATACAATTTTATTCACCTAAGTATGGAAAATTGCAAAGTACAAAAAGATTATGGCATTAAATATAATTGAAATATTTCACAACTAGTATTTTATTTTATTCAACATATTATTGGTTTATGGTCAGTTTAAAAAATTGGCAACCGTGTATATTGACCTAATGATGTATTGTACTTGTTAACTTCAGACCGTTTTACTAAAACTAGATTATCTTGAAGTTTCGATCTGATGAAACCAAGACTTTGAGAAAACTCTTTACGATTTCAATAAGGTTGGATGGAGAGTTATCAAACATGCATACAAAACAAAATTCAGGTAGCTACTTTCATGACTAGGTAATTAATTTTTCTTAATACATACAAATATTTACTAATTTTTGTTATCATATCCATATTCTTTCCCTTTAATGCTACCATGTTTTTTAGCGTAATCCCTATGATGTTTTTGATATTTCTTTTTCCCACCTTCCCTGCTGAATCCTTTGTTCTCGTCCACGTGTTTCCCTTTTTTGGAACGCCCTTTATTCCCATATTTCCTTCCACTTTTGCCAGATTTATGACTGCTACCTTTCTTATGTCCGCCTTGAATATAGAAAATTTTTGAGTTGCAATTTTTAATCAAAAAAATTCTTACCTTCTTTTTTCTTGTAGTGTGAGTGAGCATCTCCATGTTTTTCATGGTACCCTTCTTTGTGGGCATCGTCGTAGAATCTGTGCTCTCTGTGATATTCGTCCCTGTGGAATTTGTTGTGGTAACCTTTAGTTTTGTGGCCTCGTTTGTGCCCTTTTTTCTCGCCAAATTTTGCTGCCTTGTGTGATTTTTTTCCTATTCAAAAATATGTTTATTTACTTGAAGAAATTTCAGATTAATATGAATTACCTTCATGATGTTTTTTGTAATGTTCAGCTTCGTCGTGGTGTTTTTGAATGTTGCCACCTTTTTCCTTGTGGTGGTTTTCTTTGTGATGATCTTCGTGTTTTTCGTGATCGCCAACGCTTTTGTGATGGTTCGATTTGTAGGTTTCTTCTTCTTTTTCACCGTGAGATTTGTGATGATCGGAGACGTGTTTTTGGCCTTTACCAGCAGATTTTGATGCTGAAAGTATTCATTTTAATATTCATCTAACCTATATGATTTAATATTGATTCTTCAATTCACTTACCATCATGTGAGCTAGGATGTGATTGCGATTCAACTTCACTAGCCTGTCCAACTATATTACTGGATGGAGAATTAGATGTACTTTTCAAAAAACTGGCTGCTGCTTGGTTTGATGTGATTTGTGAAACACCATCTGCTACTCTTTTTTCACCTACAGTAAAACCAACTGGTCGTTGGACTCTATTACTTGCAGAACTCGGTTCAGTAGACACACTTTTCAAAAAACTGGCTTGTGGAGCGGCATTTGCTGCTTGGATGTGGTTTTGTTTGGGTGGTGGTTGATTGAAATTACCAAAAAACGTATTCGGTTGCCATATTTGTGCATTAAACTGTTCCTTGTTGCCACTTTTCAGTCCAATAGCTCTGGGGTATCCGGATATTTGCCGAAATGGTTGACTGAAAACGGTATTTGGCTCGCCGAAAATGAGATTGGGCTGAGGCACTCTGTGAACATTCTGATTAGTTGATTCTTCGTTGAACGGATCGAAAAACTCTCCGGGTCGAAATATCACAAAATCTTTAGCACTGATGTATTTAGTGAACACAAGTAAAAGAAACACTCGAAGCATCGTTAATGCTTAAACACGCACAATTAAATCCTATTACAGCTGGTGCCTTTTATAAAATATTTTTATTATAAAACTGCACCAGATAGGAAGTGTTGTAGGAAAAAACAGATTCTGAATGTTGCGGCCGTTTAAGTAAGTGGCAATACCTACCGGTAAAGGAGAAATGAAAGGATATTGGTTCCACTATCGATTTTAAATTAACGTGACATCTGGGAACTTTTTCAAATTTATTGCTTAGGTAATATAATGTAATAGTAATTCACTATCAATATGGATAGATAATAAAGATGGATAAATTTTATCATGGCAACCAGCTTCGGGTATTGTAAGGAAAAACCTCAGACTAACTGGTGCTGCATATTATGCAACAACATATTTCATCCTAAATGTCTTAAGAGGACTAAAAAATATAAAACTGTCGATCGGAACTATGGATTGTGCAGAGAAGGCAACAATTCTAATACATGTCTAAAGAACATTATTGACGATCTTAGAACAGAACTAGAGCAAAAAGATGCACACCTTAAAAGACTTAAGAGAAATTCATGTGTTTTTGAGAATAAGGCTGTTGAGGCGGATAATGTGTACCTAGCTTAGATTGAACTTGAAAATAAAACTATCAATGAATTGAATAATATCATCATTAAATTGCAGAGTCAAGTAATGGTAAAACAGCAAACTCCACAAAACGACGATGATGGTTCAGTAATAGAGAGCTTGAAACTATTTTTAAGTACGCAATCCTATGAAATCGAGGATTACGAAGCTATGAGTGCAAGCTTCAAGAAAACCTTAAGAATGGACCGGGTAGTCTTAGAGATAAATCCACCCTTTTGAAAAAATTTTGGTAAATGAGACATCTCTATCAACATCTAATGGAAAAGTTATCAAAGCCATGCGAATTCAATTACATCCCACAAGAGTACCGTCAATTATTGATAATCGGGGACAAAAATATCCCGGGTTTGCACGGTCTCATTAACTCAGCAAACTGATATCAATAACCAACGAAAGAATCGCCTAAATTTTGAACAAGGGGTTGAACTGTGTGCAGCATCGTCGAAAACTTTCACCAAGGAAAATTTTATTATTTTTATACAAGGATGGTGGAGTAATTGTAGCTGCAAGTAACGTTTTGAGATCCTCCCTGATTTCAACGCCAATTTTCAAGGAATTTGAAGATGTATGGGTACGGCTCGACGCTCTCAAGACTAACCTACCGTGCGTTCGTTATTTTGGTCTGAGTTCTCCGAGCATGACTTTACCGTTCGTTTATTCAAAAAGTGTACTCGGTGCAGCCTCATTCGCGTTCGTTTATTAAAATTTCTGGCACTTTTATATAGCGTTCAACTGCTCTGTTCCCTCGCTGGTCACGTGATTACGGCTCCGCTCAGCACGCTCTGCTCTTCGAGCAAAATACCGAACGCAAGGCTAGTAATTGGATGTTCTCTAACCACAAATTCTTGAATTATGAAGATTTTAATCTACCACATATCAGATGGTTATATGAGGATGACACATTGGTACTTTCCAATGTAAATCCAACTGTACATCATGTACTTCCTAGAATTACAGAAAATTAACCAAATACATAATGCGTCTAGTGAAATGCTTGATCTGATTTTTGCTGATGATTTTGACAAGACTGTGGTGACCTGCGCTTTTACTAATCGACCCTCATCACCCAGCTACCGACAAGGGCGTAGATACTTTCTGGGGGGGGGGGGGGGTAAAGTTAGGGAGAGGTCCGGAGGGAAATTTCAAGCTCATTTTTTTTGCAGAACTTGACCTTAGTACTATTATTATTAGGGTACATTCTTTTTTAAATTTAAGCCATATTTTTGCGAGCCAGAGGGCTGGAACTTCTTAAGACATGTCTGTAGACATTTTGAGTATTTTGAAGTTTGACGTCATCAATTATCCTAAACGCAAAATTAGCCTGAGCGATAGCTGTCATCTGACTCACAGATATCTGACACATTTGTTTACGTTTATTAATCATCCTGTTTCACAGTTCATCATTTCCATAGTCAAAATATTTCGAGAAATATTTGTTAAAAATTATAAATACCTAAGGTTCATTAAACGATCACAAAAACGTACACAACTGGCAAATTACCGCCATTTTTTCATTTTCAATGTACTGTCAGTGTCAATCCCCATTCTCTCACTCAAGATTTTTGTAGTGAGCTTTAGAGGTGTTGGAATTATGTATTTGGGTATATCAAAATGTTTTTAAATCGTACCTACCAACGCCATCTATGTTCATAATAAGTATTTGTTTATTTGTAGAATTTGTACCATTTATTTTGTCATATGTCTTTTGTAAAATGTCAATTGTGTCTAAAAATAAAAAGTCAGTCGAGTAGCTGAAGCTCATAAAAAAGGCGTCGTTGTGTTTTATTTTTCCCGTTAAAACCACAGTTTTCAACAATTTTCAAAGTTCTTATAAGTAATTTTTACAGGTTATGGGTCCAGAACGTGTTCGGTTTATTGTTGGGTTCCCTGTGTTTTTTTTTCGGTAATAAAACCGGTAAACATAAAACGTGTTTTTTTTGAGTGCTAAAATGGCCGTGAACTATTTATCCAGTGTGCCAAGATTAACTGGTCGTGAAAATTACGCGGATTGGGCTTTCGCAGTGGAAAACGTGTTCGTCCTTGAAGGATTGTCGAAGTGTATTGATGGTTCTGAGACAGATACCGTTTTAGTGAGCAAAGCCAAGGCGAAACTAATTTTGACATTAGATTCTTCCTTGTACATCCATGTTAAAGACAGTGGCACGGCTGAAGAAGTCTGGGCTAAGTTGAAGAGGCTCTACGAAGACTCGGGTTTTGCACGTAAAATCGGTTTGCTGCGAAAATTAATCTCGTTGAGACTTGATAATTGTGAATCGATGGAACATTACGTGAACCAAGTGATAGACACCTCTCAGAAGCTTGAACGATGTGGTTTCAAATTGAGTCAGGAGTTAATTGGAAGCTTGATGCTTGCAGGATTGACAGACAAATTTGAGCCCATGGTTATCGCTATTGAACACGCTGGAATTGACGTAACTGCAGATTCTATTAAATCTAGGTTAATGGATATGCACCTAGGTGGCGTTGAAGATCGCTCCTCAACTGGTGGTGCCTTTGCCGGTAAAGTGTTCAATAGAGGAAACAAAGGTGGCAGCACTAGGACTGTAAATAAAAATAAAAGTGAGCTCACCTGTTTCAAATGTAAGAAAAAAGGACATTTTATGAACAAATGTCCAGAAAATAAAAGAAACCAAGATAATAATTCATCCAACGCATTTAATGCTGTGTTTTTTACTGGTAGTTTTGACAAGTCAGATTGGTACGTTGACTCGGGATGCAGTATTCATCTTACATCAAAGAAAGATTGGCTAAAAAATGTGAATCCAGAAGTCCAAGTGAAGGAAATTACAGTGGCTAATGACAACAAGCTGGCTATAGAATGTTCAGGTGATATACAAATCACGACAATAGCTAATAATCAGCAACATTCGGTCACAGTTTGTAATGCCCTTTATGTACCAAGATTGAAGACAAACTTATTATCGGTAAGTCAACTAATTAAAAACAACAACAAAGTCATTTTTCATGCTAATAGTCCAGGAGCTGGCGTCGAAAATATGCAAGAGTTTTCGCAAGGCTCATATTTTCAGAATGAGTAGTATTTTAGTGCTACAAAGCTAGGCTACAGTCAGCAGTTCTAGTTCCGGGACACCTGGAGCTGAGATGCGCGCAAAGGTGTATTTTTAATCAACACCTCGCAACAGTTTTCGCAAAGCTGAAAATTTGCAAAGAGCATGCGAATATAATGTAGAACCATAATTTAACAGTCAGACAAAGAAATACGGGGACACGTAGAGTCAGCGCGACTTTGAAGTGGTCAAAAAAATGACGTCACCAAAAGTGTTTTCGCATGGCTGAAATTTGGCAAGGTAATAGTAAAAACAATATATTTATTGAAAAAAACAGTCAGACACTTCTATGTCGGGACCCCGCCAGTCAGCAGTCGATTAAAGTGATATAGGTGGTAGTGCGCGTCAATAGGCATATAACCATGTCGAATAATAATTTCACCAAAAGTGTTTTCGCATAGCTGAAATTTGGCAAGGTAATAGTAAAAACAATGTATTTATTGAAAAAAAAAGTCAGACACTTCTATGTCGGGACCCCGCCAGTCAGCAGTCGATTAGAGTGATATAGGTGGTAGCGCGCGTCATTAGGCATATATCCATGTCGAATAATAATTTCACCAAAAGTGATTTCGCATAGCTGAAATTTGGCAAGGTAATAGTAAAAACAATATATTTATTGAAAAAAACAGTCAGACACTTCTATGTCGGGACCCCGCCAGTCAGCAGTCGATTAGAGTGATATAGGTGGTAGCGCGCGTCATTAGGCATATATCCATGTCGAATAATAATTTCACCAAAAGTGTTTTCGCATAGCTGAAATTTGGCAAGGTAATAGTAAAAACAATATATTTATTGAAAAAAACAGTCAGACACTTCTATGTCGGGACCCCGCCAGTCAGCAGTCGATTAGAGTGATATAGGTGGTAGCGCGCGTCAATAGGCATATATCCATGTCGAATAATAATTTCACCAAAAGTGTTTTCGCATAGCTGAAATTTGGCAAGGTAATAGTAAAAACAATGTATTTATTGAAAAAAAAAAGTCAGACACTTCTATGTCGGGACCCCGCCAGTCAGCAGTCGATTAGAGTGATATAGGTGGTAGCGCGCGTCATTAGGCATATATCCATGTCGAATAATAATTTCACCAAAAGTGTTTTCGCATAGCTGAAATTTGGCAAGGTAATAGTAAAAACAATATATTTATTGAAAAAAACAGTCAGACACTTCTATGTCGGGACCCCGCCAGTCAGCAGTCGATTAGAGTGATATAGGTGGTAGCGCGCGTCAATAGGCATATATCCATGTCGAATAATAATTTCACCAAAAGTGTTTTCGCCTAGCTGAAATTTGGCAAGGTAATAGTAAAAACAATATATTTATTGAAAAAAACAGTCAGACACTTCTATGTCGGGACCCCGCCAGTCAGCAGTCGATTAGAGTGATATAGGTGGTAGCGCGCGTCAATAGGCATATATCCATGTCGAATAATAATTTCACCAAAAGTGTTTTCGCATAGCTGAAATTTGGCAAGGTAATAGTAAAAACAATATATTTATTGAAAAAAACAGTCAGACACTTCTATGTTGGGACTCCCTCAGTCAGCAGTCGATTAAAGTGATATAGGTGGTAGCGCTCGTCAATAGAATTTTACTCTATATATATCCATTTCGATGAATAATTTTATTTCTATAATTTAAATTATTTGGAATCGGAAACGGTAAAATACATTTTTTTTTCTCTTAATGAGTAAGTGTAAACCTGTAAGTTGCAAGCGTAAGCGCGTATACTTGAATAAGGCGTATATGCATTCGAATTCGGAAACTTCATTATGGTACTGTTAGGTCGAGATTAGGGGAAGGGAAGCGGCAGATGTGATTAGAAATTTTTTTTTGTATTTTATAAAATCGGCGACGATTATAAGTATTTAATGAAACTACAATAAATATAATTAAAACTGAATTTATTTAATTACTCTAGGTATACTATCACAGTACTGCTGATTAAATGGTCAAGTAATATTTATACGAATCGGGCTTTTTTCTAACCGCAAACTTTTTAACTGCATGTACAATTTTATTTTACCGTTTCCGATTCCAAATAATTTAAATTATAAAAATAAAATTATTCATCGAAATGGATATTATATATAGAGTAAAATTCTATTGACGCGCGCTACCACCTATATCATTTTAATCGACTGCTGACTGAGGGAGTCCCGACATAGAAGTGTCTGACTGTTTTTTTCAATAAATATATTGTTTTTACTATTACCTTGCCAAATTTCAGCTATGCGAAAACACTTTTGGTGAAATTATTATTCGACATGGATATATGCCTATTGACGCGCGCTACCACCTATATCACTCTAATCGACTGCTGACTGGCGCGGTCCCGACATAGAAGTGTCTGACTGTTTTTTTCAATAAATATATTGTTTTTACTATTACCTTGCCAAATTTCAGCTAGGCGAAAACACTTTTGGTGAAATTATTATTCGACATGGATATATGCCTATTGACGCGCGCTACCACCTATATCACTTTAATCGACTGCTGACTGGCGGGGTCCCGACATAGAAGTGTCTGACTGTTTTTTTCAATAAATATATTGTTTTTACTATTACCTTGCCAAATTTCAGCCATGCGAAAACACTTTCGGTGACGTCATTTTTTTGACCACTTCAAAGTCGCGCTGACTCTACGTGTCCCCGTATTTATTTGTCTGACTGTTAAATTATGGTTCTACATTATATTCGCATGCTCTCTGCAAATTTTCAGCTTTGCGAAAACTGTTGCGAGGTGTTGATTAAAAATACACCTTTGCGCGCATCTCAGCGCCAGGTGTCCCGGAACTGGAACTGCTGACTGTAGCCTAGCTTTGTAGTACTAAAATGCTACTCATTCTGAAAATATGAGCCTTGCGAAAACTCTTGCATATTTTCGACGCCAGCTCCCCGACTATAATGGTTGTGACATATACAATAACAAAGAGCAGCTGATTGCTACA